AATACTCTTATAAATAGGATTTTAAGCTTATATATATTTATATATCTTTTAGTAATAAGGTTTCCTTTAAGTTTAGTACTAATTAAGGCGCTTAGAACTTTAGCTTTCTAGCTACTAAGATATACTTAAATATAAGGTAGGTCTTATATATACTTAAGTATATAAAAGGGTATAAGGACTATATTTATATATATTATAGAAATCGCTATAAGGTCCTTTAAAGTTATCTTTTAGTATCTTATGAAGAGTACTACTTTTTATATAATAAATTCGTCTTTCCTTAGTCTTATTACCTCTAAAGTTTATTAATTAAATAGTCCTTAAGCTAGTTACGTTACGCTAATTATATTAGTTATAAACCTAACTTCTTTTAATACTTATTAGACTTTAAGGTACTTATAATCCGATTCTTTATAAGTAAAGTAAGTAAGATTAATTAGTTTAACTTAGCATTCTTTATCTTATTCTTTAACTTATATTAAAGCTACTATAAGTTTTCCTTATAAATATTTAAAGAGGAGTAAATTATTCTTTATATTATCTTTAGCTACTTTTATAACTATTATTATAGCTTTATAAGGTCTTATATTACTCTATACTTTCTTTAAGGTCTAGAATTTAGTATTTCTTATACCTTAAGCTATATCTATATATCTTATACTAAGTCTCTTACTTAGTTAAGGAATAAGGTTAATTAGGTAGTTTAAAAGGATTAGGATTCTTTTATATATAATTTCTTTAATAATTTTATTTATAAGTCTATTAAACTTCTTATTTAAATCTACTTTATATTTATAATATATAAGAATAATCTTTAAGCTAGTTTTTACTATTCTTATTATCTTAATTTCCTCTATATCCTCTTTAACTCTTTATCTTTTCCCCTTATAAGTATTAATCCCTATTATAGTTATATAGATTATCTAATTATATATATTACTTTATTATATATTTTCTATAATTATAATAACTAATATCCTTCTTACTTCTTTTCTTATATCGCTTACTTTTAAACTCCTTAGCTTATACTTATATAGGCTTTTATATTTCTAAAACTAGTCTAAGAAACTAGATTCTTTTTTACTAGTAGCTTAATTTAAGTAAGATAGTATAACTATAGCTTTAACTTATTTTATAAGTAGTAATAGAAAGGAGTCTAGCTATATATCTACCTAGTATATAGTAAGCCTTTAAATATATATACTTATTTAGGAGAACTTATTAGTAAGTACTAAGTAAATTATACTTTTATTATCTTTTCTTTTAAGGTAAAGAGTCTTATTTACTACTTTATATATTATAAATCTAATCTTATAGTCCTAAGAGTATACCTTATACTTATTAAAGTAATATCTTTTTTTACTATAATAGAAGTATCTCCTAGGCCTATTAAAAGTATTAACCTAAAACTATATATATTAATTAAATAGGTAGTAGAATCTAATAGTATTTACGCTACCTCTTTATCTATAACTTAAAGAGTAGCCTTTACTACTAACGCGTTTCTATTCCCTATTAAGCTAGTTAAATATCTACTCTTACTTATAAGTAAGGTTAATCTTTATATCTTTAAAGGCTTTTATTAGGTCTAAGATCTCCTTTACAAGCTATTTGGGTTTCTATTTTCTTTAACTCTTTAGGAAGTTTTTCTTTACCCTTAATAGATTTAGCTTCCTTTATTACTTTATTAATTTCCCTAAAAAGCTAGTCTTTCTTTAAGATCTTAAGCTTTTAATTATAGACTTTAGATACTATATCTTATTACTTAATATCTTAGTAAGGTACTAAGTAGTTATTAATTATATAGATAAGGCTTTTATATAAGAGTTTTAAGATAACTTTAAATATCTTTTTATTTCTCTTTATAACGTTAATAATAAGTTCCTTCGGTATTATATAGTAGATAAAGTATAACTAAACTATAGATTCTTCTTAGCTATTAAGTTATACCTTACGCTATAAGTATAAGTAGAAACTAAGCTATTTTATAAATTTTATAATAGTCTTAGGCTTTTTAATATTATAATAGTTTAAGCTGTCGTTAGTAGTTTTTAGTTATTTAATATTATATATATAGTAGTATTAAAGGAGTCTCTTTTTTACTTCTTCCTAAGTAAGTCCGTCTATAAGAATTTTAAAAGTAAGGGCTTATATAAAGGAGATATAGACTTTAAGCTAGTTTATTTTATCCTTATTATAAATATAGTTAATATATATCTCTTACTTAAACTTCTTAAGAGATTTAGTTTTATTTTTACTATTAAATCTATTAATAGGTAAGAGTTATAGTTAGTAGAGTCTTCTTATAAAGTTATCTTAGCTTTTAGTAAGTATATCTCTAAGTCTATTAGTAATCTTATTAATATCTACCTTAATTTATTTAGTATTATTAGTAGTAGGATTAGATAATCCCTCTTAACGGCTAGCGTTTCTAGATATAGTATACTTATAGATTATAAGGTTATAAAATTTAAAGTTAGAGCTTTTAGAGTTTAAGGATATCTTATTATAACTATCTTATTACTTACTTTCTTATTTATTAAAAGGAGGTAAGCGTTCTCTATAAGCTACCGCGTAAAGGAGAGCTAAAGTTAAGGTTATTAAGGTATCCCTTATTAATACTTATATTAGTATTATTAGTATATATATAAGTAAGAGGTCTTAGTAAGGTTCTAAAATAGTATAGATTACGTTATCGTTATTACTTATATATTCTAAAGTATTATATAAGGATTATAGTTTTTTAACCGAGTCGCTAGTATTAAGGGTCGTAGGGCTAATAATAAGAGCTCGGGGATTTTTTTAGTATAAGCTTATTACTTTTCCTTTATTACTAGCGAAGGCATTATCTAATTATTTATTTCCTGGTAAGCGTATCGCCTTATTAGGTCCTTAACTCTAGCTATTAAGGTAGTTACTACTTTAATTATTAAATCCCTAGATTTTATTTTTTCTAAATAGTACTATTATCCTCTAGGTATTCTCGGCTTTATAAAGCTACTCGTCGCTATATAAATAAAACAGAATAATAAGTTTACGCCCTAGATACTAGTTTTAATAAGGATAAGGGTATATATTTAAAGCACGTATAGTATACGGCTAAGGATTAATAGAGTAATTAACTATATAATTATTTAATTATCGGTCCTATATATAGCTTTAAGGGTCTTAGGTTATTAATATAAGTCTTAGAGATTTCTTTATTATATGCCTCTTTATCTTTACTAGAGTCGCGTAACTAGCGGCCTTTACTTTAAAGAGGGAAAATAGAAATTCGAATTAATTATATTTAAGGAAGATACTTAATTAGATAATTTAGGCCTTTATAAAGCCTTTAAGTATACTTAAAGGAAAGTTAAATAGGGAGCGCTAAGGGTCTTATCCCTTTAACGGGCTAATATCTATAAGGGTATAATCTTACCTATTAAAATAGTTATAACGACTATAGCTATAGCTAAGGCTAATATTTAAATAGTAAAAGAATAATATAGATAAGCTATAATAAGACTTTATATTAATCTTTAAACCCTACTAGTAATATATCTACTAGTAGCCTTAAGAAATTTTATAACTAAGAGGTTTATACTACTAATATAAAAGATTATTATAATAGTATAAACTATATAAATAGACTAAATAAAAAATATATATAAGTATATATTACTACTATAAATACTATATATCTAAGCGGTGTTAGAGAGCGATATAGTAGAAGCTATTAAGGTAGTAAATAATACTAAGGGGATTATAATAGTAATATCTAGCTTATAAAGGGATAGTATAGTAGGAATAAGAGGCGTAGTATATAACGTAAATTACGACGGCCTAAGTATAGTTCTTACTAGCTACTCTATATATCTCGGGACTATAGATAAGTAGAACCTATATACCGCGGAACTAATAGCGATAGTAATACCGCTAATATATACGCCGACCGGCCCGCCTTATCGAGAGGTAACGGTCGTAGTAAGTAGTCGCGTAGCCCTAGAAGTAATTAAGCGTCCTCGTAGCCAATCCGGCTAATATACTATTCGCTAAATTTACGACTATATTAACCGACTAGTTAGGCGAGGCTAGTCTATAAAACTTATCTAGGCACTAACTAAGTAAGCACGGTTTATATAGGCATTAGTCGCTAAGATAGTAGCGAAGAAAGTAACCTAGGTTAAAGCGGTAGTAGAAAAGCTATTATACTAAGTAAGATCTACTACGCTCCGTCTAGCACTCGCTCGAGGTTAGTATAAATAGCTTCTAGAAAATATAAGAAAGTACTTAAAATATATTAATAAAGTATTACTAAGGAAGTATACTTATATACTTTACGATTCTCTAAGAAAGAAAGAAGCTAATATTCTTATCTAGCTTTATACTAGTATATTATAACTAAACGGGTGCCTATATATAATAGGAGTTATAAACTTAGATTTATATAATTATAGCTAGGTAGTAAAAATAGTTAATTACTTTTTTTTCGATATATAAAGTAGTTTACGTAATAAGGTGTCTTATTTAAATACGTAAGAGCTAAGATTAAGAATCTATCTTTTTTCTTAGGAGGAAAAGCTATATTAAATAGCGATAAGTAGAAGCTAGATATATAGGCGGTTTATATAGCGATTAAATTCGCGATTAAGATTAAACGGCTCGATAGAAAGCTATAACTATTAGAAGATAACTAAGCTCTAATAAGTAACTATACTAAGTTACTAATATATCTTAGCTTCGGAACTAGTAGACCGCGCTTTAGCTGCTATAAATAGGATGCTAAATACTTAAAGAATTCGGCCTTTAAGTAGGCCTATTATAGGACTAATAATAACGAGGCTAACTAGCAAACGATAAGACGACAATCTATTAGGCTTAGGGAGTCAAGGAACAAACGTGCTAAACTATACTCTTAACTATGTAAAGGCCTTATAGGGACCTCCCTCCGGGCGAAATAAATCCTACCTACCTACCGACATTTTATCTCAACGTCAATCCGGGACAGCTCAATAACAATGGCGCCGATTGACGAGGCTCTTGATTTTCTGAAATCGTCGGAATTAGTGAATTATGCCGATACTGCACGGAAATTCAACCATAACGAGACTACGTTGCGACGGCGACATTAAGGCAAACAGTGGTCAAGACGTGATGCCAACTCATTGTATAAACCACGGCTGTCAATGCAACAAGAACGGGATCTTATTATGTCGTATATCAAGCCTGCCTAAGATGATTACTCGTGAAGTGGCGATATTACTACGCAATGCCGCTGTTGCCTGGAAGGCAACAGCTAATGCGTAGGCAGGCAACAAGTCTTTAATTTATATGTAAAGAGCTGCACAATTCCCTGCAGCTCGTTCACCTACTTCTTGTTCTTTAGATAATTCTCATCAATTGACTGATGCTATTTAGATCGCTTTGCACAGCCGCTGTCGTGCAAGGTGTGGGCCGTAACTGTCTGACACTCCCTCTAAAGGCGTTGGCGTCGATAGGCTTATATCTAGTTGAGAAATCACACTCTTAGGGTCTAATGACATGAGCCCAGCACCTCGAAAACCTCCTTCGATGTTTTTCTCGGTCATAGCGTCCTAAAATGCTACAAAAAAAACGCTAGGAAGAAGTCTTTCTTGGTGATGTGGGTTATGCCTGCCCTTATCTTCTTCTCGATTTGCCGACCGTATGCATTCTTAAGCGAGCTAGAACAGCCGACGTCGAGAGGCTAGAGTAAGTAAGATAAATAGGGAGGTATATAGAGTATAACAACGTTTTTCTCCTTATAGAATAGCTCGAAGTCTACCGGGTGGTGACTTTTATGGCTATCTAGGATGAGGAGGCGGTATCCGCCTATTTTACGGAGTCTTATATGTTTTTCGAAGTGCTAAATCCATTCTAGGCCTCTCTCGTTCGTGGTCTAGCCGTTTTCAGACATAGCGATGACCCAGTCTTGCGGGAGAGGGCTATTCTCATACCAAGTTAAGAGGTGATATTTGCCTAAGACGATAATAAATAGAGGGATAGCCCAGCCTTAGGAATTTACGCCCTAGATTACCGAAACCCATTCCCGATTCCTAGGCTACATTAGTTTCGTATTTAAACGTCTTTCTACACTTATAACGACCATTCCTATCGAGATTTGGCCTATTATAAAGCCAGTCTCATCAAAGTTATTGATATCTAACTCGGCAATACCATATTTAGCGATTGTGTTCCGCACGAGCGCGAACTAACCCCGGATAATATCTAGATCTTCGCATTGGGCTCTCTTATAGTTATACTTGCGAAAGAAACGCGTCTTTAGCTACTGGATGTCGCTTGACGAAGTTAGAGGCCCAGCGCTTCCCGACGCGTAACGCGTCGCGCTCAACGAGCAATCGGTTGGCAATATCTTCCACCTCGCGAAGCTTGGGGAATGATTGCAAATCTAGGTCCAAGACATACTCAACGATTGTCGACTCCTCCAATCTAGTCAATTTCCGCGATTTGGAGGGGTTACCGCGTCGCGACGTTATGCCGTGGAGTCGACTCGCTAAGGTAGAATGGGGCACTGCGAATGTTCGTGCAGCGGACCGGATACTAAGACTCGGGTCTTTTTTGATGGCCTGAATGGCTAAGAATAGCGGTCTCTCTTTTCTAAGAGGATCCATTTGTTTTGGTGGAGTAAAACGGGTCGTCAACTTATCCCCTGCATTGTCGCAGGTCGGTGTCCAGCTCACTTGTCTGTCCAGCTTACTTATCAAGTACGTTACTGAAAGGGGGGTGTTACCGACAGGGGGCGGGGTATGGTAAGTGAGACGTGAGGACTATCTGGTCTGTTTTAATGATTGGCATGGTGCCTTGCGGAAAATAAGCATGGTCAGACTGCTTACGCGCCGCCTAGTGCCTTGAATATAGTAGGCGTTCTCTGGCCATCCCTGTCGCGTTTCTTCGTGTGTTCGTGGCCGTCTCACCACTCTATTAGTCTCGTTCCGACTACGACAACTCTAGAAATTTGTCGCGGCTTTGCAGGATCACATTCCCTTGCTAGGAAAGGTTTGCTAAAAAAGCCGGCCCGGAAAATATGCAGAGCATTCCGGAGCCAAAGCTCATTTTCTCGGCTAGCCGATACTTAGGTAAGTAAAAGCAAGCCGAGGAAAATAGTATATATAGACTGGTCAGGGAACATGTATTGAGAGAAATCAGATAACCTTTCCTCACTATCGCACACTATCGTCACAGCCTAAGAATAAGCAATCCTGTTTCTCATCCAAGATGTTATCTAAGATCCTCATTTTGACCATCGCCTTTGCAGCGAGTACGATCGCCTCGCCCGTTGAGAATGGAGACCTCGACATAACGTCCGGCATGCTCAGCAGTGACGACTATGGTGGTGGCTCTGACCCCGGCTGCGGTCCCCCGCCGAAGCCCAAGCCGAAGAAGTGCAAGAAAAAGGGTGCTAGATGCAACGCGAGAACCCCAGGCGGCAACAAATGCTGCAAGGGACTTAAGTGTATCTCAGGAAAGGTAGAAACGAGCAGTTCCTATTCGAGTATAAACATACTATATACTAACCTATTATCCTATAGTGCGGCAAGCAGAAGCCGCCCGCACCTCCCTCACCCCCTGTCCCCGGCTACTAAGAAAGTTAGGGGGTTCGCAAAATATCTAATAGCGTTATAATTCGAAGACTACTCTCGTTGACTGGCTTAGAAGAACTCAGGGTTAGGCAAGCAGGCTTGCAAATGAATAAATTAACTTAAATCGGGCCTTTAATTTAATTTTATTTAGAAATAAGATTATAGGAATCACCGATCTAATCTAATTTAATTTAGTTCGGGTTCGATTTAGATTTATTTGCATGAGATTTGAATAACAGCACTGTTCTCCTAATATGATATATACTGAGCAGCGCCTGCTTAGAGGCGGCCTCTTTGCGCTGCAACCATCTGCCTTGCAAGACTAAAGATGCGCCCTAGCTCGGAAGACATGGCCGGAACTGAGAAAGATCGATTCCTATCCGCGATAGGCGTGGGTACTAACGCCTTCGGCGAAGCTAATATTAAATGGTATCATGCACCAGACAGTCTCCCGGATCGGTTGTGGCTACCTACTCTACATACCACCTCGTCCCGTCTAGCAGATATCGACGGTGCAGGCTGTGTACTAAGCTTCCTTACTAAGGTTATAAAGTTATCTAGTTCCACCGTCGGTTCTTCGGGTATCGTACCATGCCCTACCCCCCTTTTAGTAACACCCCCCTTTTAGTAGTATAAATAAAAAGGTTCCTACTAAAAAGTCTACTATTTAAACTATATAAAATATTACTAGAACTTAAGAATAAAAATATAAAGATTATATTATTTTATAGAGAAATAAACGCCTATATCTATACTAGCGTTTTATTACTACTCTCCTATATCTAGTAGTAATAAAAAGGGCCTTAGGTGCCGCCTTAACTTCCGTTATTAAAGCTAACTCTACCTCTAAGACATCCTCCTCCTCGGTCTTAGAATTTAGTATAACGGGCATTTTTTAACTTCTACTTTATAGAATAGCTTCCTAAGCTACTAAAGCTTTACTAAGAGTTATAAACTATTTGCTTAGGTTCGGAATTACTATACCCTTCTTACTTCTTTATAGCCGGGCTACTTCTACCTCTAGCTTCGCTATTCTATTACTATGCTTAGCAACCGTTATTCTTTAGCTTTAAAGCCTTCTTATTATTATAGCGTAATGCCTCTAAGTATTAGGAGTCTTATCCTTTCCGAAATACGGGCGATAGGGTGCTACCTTTAAGGAAATAGGATGAATCGACGACCGAGGATAAAGCAGACTAGGCAGACGAGCTGCTCAGTGCCTTTTTTCCACCCTTGCCCGCGAGAATCGAGGATAAGGGGGTGCGACTATAGCGGAAAGCGGTGCCCTTGCCCGTACTAACTAAGATTTTAGGAGAGATCGAGGAAAAGGTTATAACAGCGAAACCATAGAAAGCTCCTAGAGAAGATAAGCTTCCGACAGCGGTTTAGAGCAGTGCTCTTAATAGTATAACTAGTGCGTTTAGACCCCTTAAACTACTTATTTAGTAACTTAGCTAGACTAAACTATAGTATGCTTAAGATATTTAAACTAAACTATTATACTATTTATTACGGCTAAACTAAACTATAGTATAAACTATAGTCTATACTATTAGTATAAATATATAGTCTAATATTTAGCTTAGCACCCGTCGGACCTACTAGGTTGCCTCTAAACGTTCTAGCGCCCTTACCGAATTGCCTTACCTATAGCTTTACTAGCCCCTTTCCTAAATTAGAGGCTTAGAGCTAGTACCTATAGCTATCGAATCGATATAACGATACTTAAATCTATAATTAGATAATCTTTATCTAACGAAATAGAAATCTTACCTTAGATAGGAGTATTAGAGCGCTCCTATCCTAGGATCGTAGGCATTCTAAGAGATTTAAAGTTTTAATATTTATAGATCCTCGCTAATCGGTTACCGAAAGTTTAGCTTTAAAGAAGAGCCGCTCTATCTTAGTAGATATAAGCATAATCGATAGAAGGTTAATAGCTATTAAAGATAAGTTAGGGAACCGTCGCTATTACGCTAGCTCTAACTACTATTTTAACGGATCCGATACTATTATTATAGGCTCGCGGTAGTATACTTTATACTTATCGGTATTTATATTAAAAATCATAGCCTTCTAGTCTTTTATCTATATTTTATACCTATTTAGTCGTCCTATACTTAGCTCTTATATAAAACCTAGTCGATAAATAAGGTAGGGAGTAGTCGATTTATATGCCTCTATCTATAGCTCCCCTACCTAAGCTTTAGCTCTCTTAATCTATTTATTCTTATTCTCCTAAGTCTTCTCTATATATGCCTACTTAAGGGAAGGATTTAATACCGTCGCTGCTAAATAGACCGGCGAATCCTCCGTTAATTTATAGTAGTCGGCTAATTTAGCTTATATAGTCTCTATTATTATAGCTAAGTAAGGGATAGCAGTAGCTTTCTTAGCCGCCTTAGTATAATGTAAGAGATAGTCTATAGTTAGTAGAACGTTAGAGATAGAATTACCTATGCCTTCGTTAGCTATTATAGCGTCGTAAAACGGCTCGAGAAATTTATAAATCTTAGCTAAAGTAACCTAGTTAGAGGAAGTAAGAGTATCGTCTTATAAGGTAGGCTCTTAATTATAAAATATAGTAATGCCTTAACGGACTTTTATTCTAAGGGCATATTTAACTATACTATACTACGAATTCTAATAAGTATTATTATCGCGCCGTAGCTATAGACCGTTAGTAAGACTAGTAAATATCTAAAGTCGCTAGGGAGTCTAAGTAATATAGACCACGATATTATATAATTTGCCTATTGCCCCTCGCTTTCTCTATTATATAACCTCCTCGTCGGAAGCCTATAGTAGGAATCTACTATAGGTAGTCGCTTCCTTATAAGGAACTCTATTACGGCTAGATTAAAAATATAGCCGAAATAGCGAAGTTAGTAAGGAAGAGGATTATAGAAAATATCGAACTTATATTCTAAGTTATTAGAGACTTTATCGATTATAGTATTTATATTAGTAGTATTATATATTATAAAGTATCTAACTTTTAACGCTATTTTATATTCCTATATAATCTCTATAATAGCTTCTACTATATACTTAACGCTATACTATTATTTTAATTCTTTTATCCTTACTACTAGGGACTATAGACTATAATCTTTAGTAATAAATTAAACTATAAATCCTATTAGGCCTAAATAATTCGGCGACATCTAGTTATTTAGAATAATATAGATTTATAAGAGAGCATTTTATAGAGCTCGCTTTATAAACTCCTTTTTATTATCGTAGCCCTATTATAAGTTATTTTTAACTATGTCGCCGGACCTTAGTAGGAGATTATCGGCGGCCGGACGAATATACTAAATAAAGTCACGAAAGGCCGGCTACTTAATATAAGCGAATAGGAGGCTATAAGCTACTATATAACGGTAGTATAGTTCGCGGATAGTAGCTTAGTCTAGGGCATCTTTCTCTACCGTCTCCTTACGTTTCTTAGGAGAGACTAGAGTTTTATTAGCTAGAAATATAGTAATATCTCTAAGGCGACTTTATATTACTTCCTGCCTAGTCCCCTCCCGCCTAGAAATAATAATCTTATATTCCTTTCGTAAATAATTAACGATAGCAAACGACCTACTATAGTAATTATATTTCTTTGCTCTTTTTTTATCGAAGTAGGGCTAGCAATGCTACTATTTCGTTCCGTAGAAATTAACCTAAGCTGCCGGAATACTCCTACCTTCTTCTCTTTAATAATACTACTAAATAGGAGACGTCTTTCGGCGGTAGACGCTAAGGGCAGGCGAAGAGGATAGTGTCGGTAACGGGGATGCCTTTATATTACTAATAAGGTCAGAGTTAACTTTATAGGTGCCGCTAATAGCACTGCTAGTCTCGGAGTAATCTACGATAGAGGATATAATCCTTTAGGACGGCACTAGATAATATAGCTATCAAGGGAATCTAGCAGAGAGCAGGATTATTAGGATAAACCGACCTTCTATTAGATCATTCTAGCTTCCTCTCTTTAACTACTCTAGGCACTTCGAAGTATAGGTATAACTTAAAATGGCTAGGCCATGTTAAGCAGCAAGGCCCGGAATTCGCTCACAGCTTCTAATTATTAGAAGTTATCCGCGCATGCTTAGGAATCAGCCTATTTAGAAGTCCTAGTAATTTGGTTTAGACCACATAATCTAATTAAATTAAGTATGCCGGCCAATGATCGGCCATATCCCTTTTAGCGTTAGTGTAAAACGAAACTTTAACATCGTCGCGCATTGTCCCGTACGTGCTATAAAGAATCTTAGTTAATATTCTATAGCTACTTATTATTAGACAGAGTAATTAGTTAAGCGGAAGTTTAAGGCTATGCTAAGAACCCTATTTATATAAAAGCTAAAGCCTTTTTTGACCCTTAGTTATTCTTCTTTAATATAGAGTAAAGGTTCTATAGTTTATATAAAGACTTAGGGGGAAGTTAAGATGCTAGAGTATAAAATATAACCGACCGAATAGGAGCTCGCTATATAGATTAAAGCGGATCGACTTAGAAATAATATAAGCGTTCTTAAGAATAGGCTAGTTATTATTACCTAGCGAAATAAATAGCTAAAGGAATAGCTTAAAAATATAACTTAGAAGCTTAGAGTTAAAGAGACTTCTTAGATTAAGTACTCTCTTACTATTACTTATATTTTATAACTTATTAAGGAGCTCTAGTAAAGTAATAGTAATAGCTATATTATATAATTCTTTAATTTAAAGGGATTTAAAGCTATTTCGACGATATATTTCCTAATAATACTTTATAATAAGACGCTTAGTATTAATCTTATTAGCTTAATATAAGGTAAGTATTATCTATATATATAGACTAGGAAAGAGTAAATAAATTAGCTTAATTAATAATCTCTTTAAGCTATAGAAAGGAGTATAAGGCTAGGTATTATATAAATATATCTCTCGCATAGAGAGATACGAGAAGTATATATAAAATGCACTAAGGTAAAATTAGAAGTATAGGGTCGGATAGGCAGGGCAGA